CTAGAAGAGAGGACTTTGTAGGCAAAGATATGACCATAGGATGACATTTGCTATACTTGAGAAAGAAGATGAGGGTAGAATAGAAAGGGAGAGTGGACTGGAGAGCAGCAGGACAGACCATTCAGGGCCTCGAGTAGGCTGAGGAGGAGCTTGGACATTAATCCAAGGGGACCATGGGAGGATATTTTCATCAGAAAGTTCTGGGGTCAGTTTTGTATTATAGGAAGGCTGAGGGTAAAACTAACGTGTTCCACTTTAGTTTGTAGGATCAAGGCACAAGGAAGACGAAGACAGGGTGTGATTCCTGGGCAGAATGGGGTGAAAAGGTGATGCTCTTTCACCTTGTCTGACTGGTAACTATCAGATGGTTACCTGCCCACTGCCCCATGTCAGCCTGATACTGCTGGTATAAGGTGTGCTAAGGACAAAGTGGCCAGCGTGTATTAAGTTCTTTCTCTGCTGTGATGGGCCTGAGGTTCTGGTGCATGCTGGGATCTGCTAATACAGAGAAGGGTGCCACTATCAGGTCACCATCCTTCAAGGAAGTCTTGCCAAGCCTAATGCACATGAGAGCTGCCAGCTTGAAGATATGAGTGTTAGGACCAGAATCAAAGGGCTGGGTTCTGAACTTGCCTCTGTCTCTGTCTTAACATCAAGGCTTGGACCAGGGCAAGAGCTTCTAAAGTCAGACAGAAAAGGGCTGTCTCTGCCATTTGCTAGTTTTATGATCCTGGAGAAGTTAGTAGCCCTTTCTGACCCTCTCAGAGTTTCCTCATATGACAAATGAGAGATCCTAGCAGGTAATCAGATGATTTTGAAAGCTGTTTCAGGTCCTGATTGTCTGGGATTGTGTGTGTGTGTGTGTGTGTGTGTGTGTGTGTGTTCATGCACACACATGTGTGCTGTGTGTACATCTGAGTGTGATTACATGCTCCTGTGTATCTGTGTGCCTGAATGTCTCTTCTGTGTATACATGTGCAATTACAACTCCATGAAGAAATGGTTAGAGGCAGGAGTGAAGAAGGGGAGTATTTCAGAGAGCATAAGCATATTGGCAGGTTATCATAGAGTGACTACTGGATAAAGTGGGCATTAATTGTTTCTCTGCTATGGAGCAGAAGCTTAGAACCAGGAATAAGAGGGGAGACATTCTTTCCAGATCCGTAGGATATTGAGGAGCCACCCTCCTGCAAAAGGTGGTAGCCGGGAAAGGTGGTTGTGAGCACCATCCCTGGAGCGCTAGAGTGAGGTTTGTGTCAATGGAGGAGGGGAGGCTTGCAGAGGGCACTCTTGCCAGGACCAACACACCAGGTCATCGTGTGACTTGCACTGGCCAAAGTTAGAACAGAAGTGATGGCTTTGAGAAGGTGTGGTCGGGCTGGTATCCCCTACCCTGGGGCTCATGATGTCAACACCTCCCTGTTCTGCAGAAGCTGATGGTGACGGCACCCTCCTGCCCTGAGAAATGCTGGATTCGAAACTGAGGCAGGGCGCAGTCCCAGGCGGAGGGTCCTGTTTTTCTGGTTTCCTGCAGACTTCTCTGCAGCCCAAGCCAGGCATGTGCATTCATGAATGTGGAGCCTGAGCAGGCACCTGAGCATCCTGACAGCGAGAGAGGCTGGTCAGGTAGGTGTGGGAGAAGGCGGGGTGCAGTAGGTGGGAGGCTTCATCCTTAGCACTCACTTCACTCATTGCCAACAAACCAGCTCAGAGCTGACTCTCCAGTGATTTTTTGGAGGCTATACATTGCACAGGAGGAGGCTGCCTATCATTCTCCCACAGAGTGGCTGGTGGATTTGAACTGCCAGAGATGTACCACCTTTGGGTGAAGAGTGCAACTTGATACAAACTTCCCCACCAGAGCTCACTTAATCCTTATGTTGTGTGCGTTTGAATTGGAATTGACTCATAGCTGACCCTCTAGCAGGTTTTCAGAGGCAGTTAATCACATGGAAAGAGATTACCTATCCTCCCACGGAGCAGCTTGTGGATTCAAACTGTATGCCTTTGGGATTGCAACCCAGCTTCTTACCATTGGGTCACTAGAGCTCCCAAAGTCCTTATAGCAGTACTATGCTTGCCTCAGTTGAGGAAACAAAGGTTCAGGGTAGTTAAGTAACTCACCCATGGTCACACAGTTGGTAGGTAGCAGGGCCAGATTATGTGGTGGACAGGGGCATGATGCATGTGCGTAAGCCGAACTAGAGTTAGAGCAAAAGAATCCTAAGGCAGATGCCTTGCTCTCATTCTGCTCCCCCATCCAAAGCTGGCATGAGCTCCAGCTTTAGAGCCAGACAGCCCTGGGTGTTAAATCATATTTTTCCAATCCTGGCTGGGTGACCTTGAACAGTCAGCTCTGTGGCAGAATCAACAACCACCACCAAGGGTGGAGGACAGGAAATTAAATTAAGAGGCTGCAGAAAGGCTGTTCGCTGAGCTTAGCCCAAGCATTGTGGGGTTCTCCAGAATTGGGGGCTCTGGTGGGAATCAAGAAGCTCATTAATATTTTTTTTCCCCTACCAGCTGGAGAGATAGAAGAAGTCTGAAGGAGAGCATGTCTGGGGACAGGCCATCTCCATAAAGCAGGAGGTGAAAAGCTAGGAAAGGTTGGTGGGACAGCCTATGATGGAGGAGGGCAAGCAGGGTCAGGCTGGACGAGGGCCACAGTGATCGAGTCCCCAGCTGGCCTGGGAGAACAGAGGCCAGGATGTCTCTAAACAGGTGGAAGAGGCAGCTCCTTCTGTTCAGGGGAGGCTTAGGGAAGTCTCCACCCTTCTTCTCAGGGTCAGAGATTCCACAATTAGTGATTAGTAGGAAACTCAGTGCAATGTAATGAGATTTGGGCTGCTGAGAAAAAGGTGAGGGCCATCCCCACAACTCAGATTGGAGATGGAACAGCCATTTGGAATAGGCCGATGTGTGTGCCTTGACACCCTATTGTCTCCAGGGATTAAAAGATGTCAGGGCAACTTTGGGGTTACAGTTCTGCACAGGTGGGGGATTTGGTCTATGAAAGCTCTGAAGGTCTTCCAGAATTCTGTGGCCCCTCACTGCCCTCCTGGGGTTCTGCCGTTGTCCTCAGTCTCACACCCTATTCTCCATGCTCCTGCACCTTCTTTGAGCTAAGAGCTTTTGCCATCCCCACACCCCACAACATTCCTCCTCCTCTCTCTCTCCCCTCCTCTGTGCATGTTCCTCTTCCCAACACTTCCTGCAGGACTTCACGCAGCCCTAAGCCATGCCTCCTCTGAACCACTTGCCTCACTTCTCTTGAATGTCTCTTGTAAACCCCCCACCAGGAGCAGAGAGTTCACCCCTTCAAGCTTGCAGCCCCTTCCACTGTGGTAGGAATTACAGCCCAGCCACATCCTGGCTGTGTGACCTTGGCCACATTACTTAAATGATCTGTTGTGTAGCCTCTTTAATTGAAAACTGAGGATGATGACCTGGCTCCCAAAAACAAAAAGAAAAGAGTAAAGGAAGTAACATTTATGAAGAACACATTAGCAGTAATGTTTTCATTTCACCAGCTTTCCCTGCTGCCTACTCCTTCACACTATTAAAATTACCTTCTGTGTTAGTCCCAAACCTGCCTGCCTGGGGCTCCAGCTATGACTTCCAGCTTGTCTTCTGGGACTGTTGGCCAGATGGCTGCAGCCTGCCTCCCAGCCAAGAAGGTTCTTGGTGGTCACATTGGTGGGATGGAGAGAGGCGCTCAGTATCTCTTGGGCAGTCAGCCCTCACGGGTGTTACAAGCCCACCAAGAACAGAGAAATAGCAAGATAGTGATAGTGTATGAAGAAAAGCTGGGAAGGCTGGAGGAAGCCAAGTTGACCCCCAAAAGGGTCAAATTCTGTCAGTCTCCATCCCCACCTCTACCCCTGACAACCCTGAAGGGTCATTATCCCACAGGGCAGCTTCACAGGCCAGGGGCAGACTGTGTTTGCAAAGGCAGAAAGTGCCAAAATCTAGGAGTACCTTGAAAATATTTGTTTAGTGAGTAAACGGCTGACTGAAGAGGAAGACCCTTGGAAATACACTCTCAACAACCGGGCACAAGGCCAGAACCTCCTTTGAGAGTATACAGATGACCTAAAGCAAAGAACGTCCCAACGCCTCCAGGAGGAAATGGGTGTCCCACTGCTCAGGAACATGCCAGGAAGCAGTGGGCACTGACTGTGAAGCAGATCCAGTCAGCCTCAGAAATCCTTTTCCAAAAATCTGAAATTATACCTCTCCTGGTGATTATGTGTTGGGCTGCCAACTGAAAGTTCTACAGTTCAAATCCACCACCTGCTCCTCAAGAGAAAGAGTGGACCGCCTGTTCCCATAAGATTTACAGCATCAGAAACCTGAATGAATAAGCACTATGAATAAGAACTTATTCACCATGGGTAAGAACTAACTTAAAGGCAGTAGGTTTGAGTGTTTTACTTTTCTTTGGATGTTATGGTTTGGTGGGGCAGGAGGTGAGGGGGATGGACCCACCAGATTACTTGAAATCCTTGATCTAGAACACAGGGATCTAGAGGTTCTAGAACAGAGTTAGCAAACTCTTTTTGTAAAAGGTCAGACCAGTAAATATTTTAGACTTTTCAGCTGTATGGTTGTTGGCACAATTACTCAACTCCTCATAAACAAGTATGACTGTGTTCCAATCAAGCTTAATTCACAAAATATAAATGGATGGGCTGGATTTGGCCCTTGGGTTGTAGTTTGCCTATGCTATTCCAAAGTTTTAGAATTATTCTGTTTTTTCATGGACCTCATGCATTCTCCAAGTGTCCAGGCTCAAGAACTAGGGTACTTCAAAGACTCTGGATCCTCTGGGTCCAGAAAGAGATTCAAGCCAGATAGCAGCCAAGATTCTGAACATGGTTATGCAAACTTAGCCATGGGGATCTGTGGATAGTTTGGCCCCATTCAGGGTGAGCAAATCACATCTCCCCTCTGAGCCCTCTCCATGGCCTTGATGTTCTCCCCAATCCCTTTTCCTGCAGGGTAATGGCGACAGGACTGGACCCCTGGAATGACACCGACAATGGCACCTGGGATGGGGATGAGCTGGGCTACAAGTGCCGCTTTAATGAAGACTTCAAATACGTGCTGCTGCCTGTGTCCTATGGCGTGGTGTGCGTGCTGGGGCTGTGTCTGAATGTCGTGGCTCTCTATGCCTTCCTGTGCCGCCTCAAGACCTGGAACGCCTCCACCACGTACATGTTCCACCTGGCTGTGTCAGACGCGCTGTACGCGGCCTCCCTCCCGCTCCTGATCTACTATTACGCCCGTGGCGACCACTGGCCCTTCAGCACTGTGCTCTGCAAGCTGGTGCGCTTCCTCTTCTACACCAACCTTTACTGCAGCATCCTCTTCCTCACCTGCATCAGCGTGCACCGATGCCTGGGCGTCCTGCGCCCCCTGCGCTCGCTCCACTGGGGCCGAGCCCACTATGCCCGGCGGGTGGCAGCCGGCGTGTGGGTGCTGGTGCTGGCCTGCCAGGCCCCCGTGCTCTACTTCGTCACCACCAGCTCACGTGGCACTCGCATTACCTGCCACGACACTTCGGCGCCCGAGATCTTCAGCCACTTCGTGGCCTACAGCTCCGTCATGCTGAGCCTGCTCTTTGCTGTGCCCTTCGCCATCATCTTGGTCTGTTACGCGCTCATGGCGCGGAGGCTGCTGAAGCCAGCCTACGGGGGCGCAGGAGGCCTGCCGCGCGCCAAGCGCAAGTCGGTGCGCACCATCGCCGTGGTGCTGACTGTCTTCGCCATCTGCTTCCTTCCTTTCCACGTCACCCGCACCCTCTACTACTCCTTCCGCTCGCTTGACCTCAGCTGCCACATCCTCAATGCCATCAACATGGCTTACAAGGTCACCCGGCCGCTGGCCAGTGCCAACAGTTGTCTGGACCCCGTGCTCTATTTCTTGGCTGGGCAAAGGCTCGTGCGCTTTGCCCGCGATGCTAAGCCACCAGTAGACCCCACTCCTACGGGCCAGGCTCGCCGCAGGCTGGGCATGCGCAGATCCGGCAGGAATGACACCCGGCGGATAGAGGACCTGTCCACAAGCAGTGAGGATTCCAAACGGACAGAATCCACACCAGCCGGTAGCGAGAGCACAAAGGATATCCGGCTGTAGAACTTGTACCCTTTGGGCGTGTGCAACTCTGTATGGGAGGCTAGAGGGGACCAAGATGTGTTCAAATGAGACCGTCCGCCAGATACGGACTCAAGTCAGACGACCAAGAGAACCTGACTGACTTCATACTCTGTCACTTGGCAAGGGCTCAGGATACTACTCTCTGTGTTTCAGAGAGCTCAACGGAACCATAGCCCCCAGTCATTGTTTGTCTGAGTTGGTGCATACAATTTCCAAAAAGGCAAAAAGATTCAGGGCCAATGGATGTCACCCTGACCTGACTCCTGTATAAGTCGCCATCCTAGCTCCCCAGATGCCTAGGCTAGAGTCTAGCCTAATCAAGTCAGATGAAGAAGCATAAACTTGGGGAAGAAGGTGACTTACCAAGGTCACAGAGTGGAGCCACAGGGTGACAGATTACCATGGGAAGTGGCCAGAAATGAACTCCTTACAGAGGTTGGGGTAGGCTGAGTACCACTAAGTACTCATCTCTGAGGAATTCCCCAAGCCAAAGAGGACCTATGCTGTAAATCTCTGTAGGGTCCTCCCGACTGGGAGCCAGTTTGAAGCTTTAAGTTATACTAAAGATTTGTTGCTTCCTGAGCTGTGCCCATGAGTAAGCTGGAGATGGGGGTTGGGGGGAAGCCTGGGGAGTCCTCATCACAATCCATTTTCCAACTTGTTCTCTTCTGCCTCTTCCCCAGGAACTCCCTCAGGTTGCCTCACTTCAATCCCCTACTCACCGGCCCAAGGGTAGCTTCCACTTTAAAACTGTGTCTACCATGCTCTGGGAGGAGACACAAGGTCCAAACCTAGGGGATCTTCCAATCTAGGACTTAAGGAGATGCCCAGTCCAGTGCTGATAAATGTTAAGTAACTTAACTGACTCTATGATGAAAGTAAGGACTCTCCCTTATCTGTGATATTCCCATTTGCCATGATGTAAATATTTCTAGTATGGTCAGTTTTGCATTGTTAGTAGGATGTCATCCTTATCACTAGAAATTTAACAACTCTTATAAGAAGGTCCTAATCAACTCCAGTTTACCACTAGATACTGCTGCACACTTTGGACTGTGGCTTAGAGGATCAGGGGAGCTTCCTGGAGTGAGAGGACTCCTGAGTTCTAAGAAGAACATCCAAGTACAGGATACATTCCGGGCAGATAGAAGAGAGCAGAGCATGCACAACTGTCAGCAGAGCAGCTCGCCAGCATACACTCACCCTAGAGGTGAGGATGTTACTCCGGGAAATGGGGAAGGTACGCAGTCACAGAGGCCAAATCAGGGCTCCCTCCTTGCCCCTGAGGTTTCCTTTGTACTTGGGATAGATGTGAGAGACTCATACCTCGTCCCATTTGGTCTTCTGAGACCTGGAAAAACCCCAGCTGCACAGTATGATGGTTGATGCTCAGGCTGGCTCAGAACCTGCATCAGGATCTGAGCCCACCCAAGACCACACTGAGTCAATTTGGGGAACTCAACAGGCATAGTGCTAATGTGAAAGGTAGGAAATTATTTCAGAGGAGATATATTAGTTGGAAAAGGTGTATTAGTGTTAGGAAAAACTGATAGACCTCGATCCCAGTTCCTTGGGAGAGTCCTTACCTGTAGACCTACTCTGTCCAAGTGAAGATTTCTTTTCAGCCTGACACTTGCTACTATGACTGTTTTTAGACCTATCACTGGCCTAAGCTCAAATGATGACTTCAGCTATGTAATATGTGAAACCTTCCCAAAGTGCTCCTACAATCTAGATTCTCTATGTCTGTTGATGAAACCAGGGTCTCACTGAGCTTGCTGACAAATTGTCCTTGAGCCTTTCCTACAGGCCTGAGTCTAATCTCTTTACCAAACTGCTCAGGCAGTTTGTAGCGACTCCCTACGTAGGTAGGTTGCTCTGATGGCCGAGATATGAAGGCTGAGTTTTCCTTTGCGGCTCTGCTTGGATCAAGAGACGAGAGTTGTGTCCTAGACTTTGGAGTCCCTGAATGTGCATCTGTGGTTGGGGCCACAGGTTCAAGTTCTCCCTGTCTTTGTCCTGTCACCTCATTTCCTGCCCACCTACTCCTCCAGCAGCTTCCCTAAAAACCTATGGAGCCACACTCAGGCCCAGACTTGGAAAGCTTCTGAGAACCAATGCTTACAGATTTCTAAGACCTTAGGACTGGGTGCAAAGGCAGTAACCTGCCCCATAATAGGCATTGTTGGAGGTGAGAAATGAGACTCTAAGAGAGCCAAGGAAAGGCTCAGGGTCCCATGTCTGGACCCCAGTTAGATGACATCTGCATGGACAGGCTGTCTAGATAGCTAACCTTACTGCTCAGTGCCTGGGCCCCAAGCCTTGTGGGTAAGGCTTCTGACGCCTGCTGCCTTGTACTATTTTCAGCTCAAGTAAGAGAAGGATTTTCCACTTTCAGCTCCAGACCATTGTCCAGCAGTGACTGGGAGGTGGGGTTCTGTCTGCACCCAAAATACCTCTCCTTGCCCTCTAGTCTCCGTGCCCCCTCCTTATTTCCCCACTTTGACATCACTTCCTGGGACTGTTGATTTCTGAAAGGCACTTTGAAAGGGCACATGAGTCTCCCAGATGGTATAGCCACCTGTTAGGGACCCCAGGGATTAACCAGTCCAGCTTCAGACTCAAGGTCAGAGGGGGTAGGGCCTTGCCCAAGGTCACTCACTCAGCAGATCAGAGTGGCAGTAGGATGTGAGCCAGGGCTCCTGCTACTCTGCTGGTCCATTAGTGCAGGTCAGTGCTTTTGTATAAAGCCCTTCTTTCCTGCACCACCCATCTTCTCTGCATCACCCAGCTCTTCCTGCCCAGGTCAGAGACTCAGGTGAGTGGAGGAACAGGAGTGTAGGAGTGTGAATACTGTTCTGAGTGAGCTCTGCCATTAGGTTAACATCCCTAAGTGGTGGTGACTCAGGTCTTTGGAGGGAGACAGTAATCCTAGAAGGCATTCCTACCCCTATCTTCCAAGGCCTGGTAAGAGTCTAAACAGTTGCTCCAATCTTGGCCTAGATCAAGCCACCCAAGCCACCCTTCCACCGCCACTCTTGCCATGTTTGATCTGGACTGACCTGTTTTAAAGTCAGGCACACGGAGGGAAAGCCATTCAGTAACATACATTGCAGACACCATGTGCAACCCTCTCATACTCATTATATCGCTTAGTCTTCATAATCACCCTGTGAAGTAGACATATGCCCATTTAGCAGCTGCGGGACCTCAGCAACCTCTGAGAAACAGGTGATTTGCTTCATAGGTGGGAGAGCCACCAGAGAGTCCAGGTCCAGTTGGCTGGTATGCTACCCTGCTTGCAACCTCAGGGAGCAGAAGGGCCTTAATATGATTCAAGACAAGAGAGGCAGTGCATCAAGATGCAGTTAGAAGCACAGATTCTATACGCCACTCACTCTTCCAGCTCTGGAATCTTGGGTATGCTAATTTACTCAGCAATACTTGAGTTTTCTCATTTCTAAAATGGGACATGCTTACCACCTCCCTTGTAGATCACTGGAAAGCTAACTGAGCTAATAATAGACATGAAGCACTTATTACAGTACCTAGCACACAGTACCATATTCTTATACATTTACGAACTTAGTAAAACATCCATGTAAATAACGTGCTTAGCACACATAGGAGACCAACTTGCAAGAGGAGGAGAGCAAAACAGTGTGCTTATTTGTTTAAAAACACAGTCTTTCTATGCCAGACACTGTGCCAGAAGGATACCTAAGCAAGCAGACTATGCCCTGTCCTTGTGGAGGGGAAGTAATTCAATATCTTATCACTCTGGGGTAAGTGAATGTTTAAATTTTCATTGGGCATTTCATGTTTTGTTTTGTAATGATTACAGTCTCTACAAAGTAATAGCATTCCTCTCACTTCTCCCCTACTTCCTGTTTCCATTCCTCCTTTCTTATCCTTTCCTGCCTTCTGAGTTCTATCCCTGGGCAAATGCTGCCCTTTTGATCTTTTATGGTTGATTGCTTTTAGGAGTGCCTTCCTTCCTGGTGTTATTGATCACCTTCAGGCCCATCTATTGTCAGGCTGTTGAGTCACTGGAGGGATTTCAGTTCAAACTTAAAGGGCCCTGCTTTCAGAGATTTACCAGACCAGTAAGCCTAGCCTTTCTTTTATAGTTTTGAATTTTGTTCCACATTGATTTCTCTCACTCTACCAGGGACCTTCTATCACTATCCTTTTCCAAGCACATAGCAGTGGTAGTTGGGCACCATCCAGTTCTTCTGGTCTCAAGGTGACTGATGGTTTTGTGGCCCTAAATTAGTCCTTTGAAAAGTCTTTGATTTTCTTCACTCTTCATTGCTCTGGATGGGGAGAGACCAAAAATTGTACCTTAGATGATCACTTGCAAGACCTTAAGGCCCCACTCACTGTAGAACATTATTTTTCTGCCCCAGAACCATGTTATACAGTTAGTTGACTTTGATATGAGGTAAGTGCGCTGAAGGAGGGATTAGTATGCCAGGTCAGCATACAGCATGAGCCTTGACATGCCCAGTGATGCCCTGTGACTGAGGCTTCCTCAGGGTGTAAGAAGAAAAAAGCAAGTTCACATTCTGCCTTGACTGACACTGAGCAGCTTGCAGGCACAGGGCTGTGTTTAACAGACCTGTCCCAGATGTCTGGCTATGGAAGGACAGGAAGAGGAGGGGGAAATGGGAGGAGAACAAAAAGAGTGCTTGTAACATCAGGATTCAAGGACCAGGCCCTACGCACCTATGGGCTCCCACCCACTCATGGCAGCAGGCTTACTCATTTTCCTTTGACTCGTGGCACCTGCCATGATGACCTACAGCTGTACTTTGTCTCAATCTAAAGACCTGGGGTAGCAGAATTGCCCTGGAGTTGGGCCAAATGAAGGAATGAATGGGTAACTTTGCTTATGACCTTAAGCCACTTCTGTCCTCTCTGGCCCACCCTCTAGAACTTTCTTCCTTTCCATTTCTTGATACTTCAGTAAAAGCATC